AAACATATTTTCGTGAACAACCTCTATTATAAGTCCACAAGAAAATAAAGTCGTGTCTTCCTCTACTTCAGAGTCTGCAGCCAAGCCTATTCTAGAATCTTCTGAAAAACCTAATCTAGAGTCTTTCCACCAGAAATAAGTTCAAATAAAATGAAGTGAAAAAAATTTAATATGTTTCAATTCCCTAATTAATTTTTCCAATTGATTTGGAGGTTACAAAGCCCTAACGGATATGGTAACATTATTATGTTAATGCAAATTAATGTAGAATTGAAACATTTTCTCATCCTAGTACTATGCAAGAAGGTGTTCTTTTCATTCCACACACCAAACTTTGAGAGCTCTTTTCTCTCTCTAATTTTTCTCTCCTCTTTTTTTTTTTCCAAGAGTTTTGTCCTTTGTAGTTTAGATAATTATTTTCTAGCTCGGTGATAGAATTGTAGGTATTCTCAATTCGTCTAAAGTAATGACGAGGTGCTAGTCAACTGCTACTTTCAACCATTGTATCCTGGGAGACAGACATTATCAGTCCTCGCGCACCATGATAAGTGTGTTTTTACACGCTTATTGGATACTTAAATTAAGCTAATTATTGATTAAATGATCGAATTTCTAATCATAATTTTGTAATTGTTGTTTTTATAAGTTGAAAATCACCAATTGGAAGAGAAAAGGTCAAAAGAAGGAAAAATAACCGAAATCGTACAAAAATCTGAAATTGGAGACTAAAGTGCACAAGTGCCGAAAGTTTTGGGACATTGGATACAATTTACGAAGGGTATGATTGAAATGAGAGTCACAATTTGAGGATCAAACTATACAAAATCAAAGTTGAAGGACCAGGAGCATAGATAATAGAGGACCGAAATTGTAAAAAGAGAAGAAAAGGAGCCAGGCGCACGCTTGACTCCAAGCAAGGAGCGTGCCTATGGGCATTAACTGACGCTAGTAAGAAAAATACTCTGATGGGAAGAGCACATGGTCTATGTGTCACGGACTGCAGCTTTACTTAAGCACCGTGACCCTATCGCAGCCACAGTTTGTCCAACTTCGGCTGCACATTGTAAATATTTCATTTAATTGTAAAATAGTTGGAAATTAGAAAAGTTTAGTATGATTCCTCGGCTTTTTAACTTCTACTCCCGTCAGATGGGGTTTTGTTGTTAAGT